TGTAAATGCAGGTGGCCTGCTGGTGACTAGTGCAACAGGACGTGGCGTGCCTGTACTAGACTTTATCGCTCTCAGCGAAAAGATAAAGACAATGGAGACTATTTTGGAATTTTTCTAGACGCACAACAATTTGTGGAGAAACATTGAGACCTTTGTGATAGACAAAGACTTCAAGGAATGGAAAGTGTTAGAGAGATGCTTTCCCCAAGCCACAGTGCTACTCTGCCAGTTTCACACCATGGCGAACTGGAAAAAAATTATAAAGCGGGCAGAGTATGGGCTTAATGGTGTTCAGCGAGATGAAGTGGAGATCTCGATCAAGCAGATGATGTACAGTACTACCAGAGAAGCTTTTGAGCGAGCAAGAGATGGATTCGAGAAACTGTGTAAAGGAAAGTGTCCCGATATTTGTAGTAAGCCGTGCCCAAAGGTTTTTTTTCGTACTTTCAAAACAACTGGGAGTGGTGTAGCGATATGTGGTCGACCATGGTCGTGGGATTACTTTACAGCGGGCAATACGACGACGATAGGATTGAAAGCAATTGGAACCAGCTTAAACGGCTTCTTGGGAAAAAATCGTGGATTGATCGAACAATCGCGGGATTACTACAAAACCAAATCAATGGTGTCAACCACGCCCTGACATCGTTGCGCAAGTTTTCAAGTCAGTCGCGTCCCCCGGATGATATTCCTCGGTTCTTGCAACGCGTTGCTGTGAAGCTGTCTAACGACACATTTGTGAAGGTTTCGTTTCAGTGGAACTTGTTCATGGTGCACCAGAGTGAAGCTACATGTCGGCACGTCGGGTTGGCCCAATCCGAATGGAAGGTGTGTTTGCATGGTCAAGAATGGTGTGCTGACGATCTACTATGGTCGTGCAATTGTTTGTTTTATAAAAGCTGCCGACTTCCTTGCCAGCACGTAATAATTGTTGCTAGCAAAATGCATGGATTCGAATCACTTCCAGCAGAATCAGTACCAGCTCGATGGAGCACGACAAAGACTGAAGAATTGTACGCGACGTTTAGAAATGGGTTGCTCCCGCTTCGTGAGATGGTTAATATGGTGAAGGCACGACCACCTCCGGTTATGGCGCCCCAAGTCGTTGCAGCACCCTTAAAGCATTTTTCTGCTGCGGCTCTGAGCACGGGAAAACGTTCTGTTAAGTACGTGCGTCTACGACGAAAAGAACAGGCAAATATGGCTGTCTTATCCGACGCTGAGAAATATGCAAGAGCACAAGCAATGTTTGAACCAATTATTGAAAAACTTAGTGCGTTACCGACAGTTGACTTTTACCAGCAGATGAGCAAGTGGAAGACAGTGCTCGAGGAAGAAGTTGGAGGTGACTGTGGATCCATTGACGATAGCTTCGATAGTGATACGGGAAGCTACCTGGACCAACTCGATTACGCAGATGTGATGGCCGAAATGGAAGTTGATCAAGAACAGGCCACGAAGGCTGAATCTCTAGCTGACCTCGCTCGAAAGTGGAGCATTTCGATGCACGACGTTTCTCTTTCAGACAAAGATACAGCGCCGTCCGATAATTTGTTTGTAGAACCAACACAACCTGCGCAACCTTCTGAACAGCCTACACTACAACTCTCTCCAGACGACGAGGACGTGGATACATCTGACATCAAAACAAACCAAGCAAAAGTCCTGCCTGTTGAGGCTACCGTGTCATCGGACATTCTTCCCAAAGCTCGAGATCTAAAATTTCTCCAGCTCGCAGCCCCCAAACCTCGAAGAAGAAAAAAGACGAAGCAAGGATGGAGCACCCCACAACCGAAGTTTGCTCTTGTTTTGTTTTCTTCTGAGGTGACGACCACGATGACAGAAATTATTCAGTGGTGTTACTATCATCCAAACGTGGAGAAGGTCTCGAATGTGCTCGAGTAGTATCCAGTGCGGATGACTGACAAATTCATCCAAGCTCGTCCCGTTAGATGTGAAATTGCAACGGAAACCAGCGCGAACAGCCACAAGGAACATTCTTTTGTTATTCCAGACGTTCTTGTGAAAAACGCAGAGGCTTCGATGATGAACAAGAGGACCCGTCTTGCTGCCAATAAGGAAGACGCGCCATGGGGGCTCATGGTTTCATTCAGCTCAAGCGACATCACTCTCCACAGGTACGTCAACAGTTTCTTCTCTGCAGTACCAAGGGTGCTACAAGAGTATTAAAGTTGCTCGAGGAGTACTAAGGGCGCCACATCACAATTATTAAGTCGTGTATTTGCTACTAACACTGGTGATGTCTATGTAGCTCTTTCTTGTACAGAATGAGGAGTTTGTACGACATAAAGGCGAAATCGAAGGGTTTACTTGAAGACCTGAAGTGGATAAAACAGGAATGGCGCTTTGTTCAAGCCCACCCAGTTGAATTATTTGCTATGGAGACCAAAACGAACGGGTTGCTACATTCCGAATCTGCACAAATGCACAAAACACTGTCCGACGATGTGATCAAGAAGTTTTCGACACTATCGCTGATGACAGAGCTGAAGACCAAGTCGGGAACCTGCGTTGTAAAGTTTAGCAATATTGCTTGTGGAGTCCTACGCGGCAGGCTAAACGACGCTGCCATCGACATGGCAATCACTTTGATAGCAGAGAGGTCACGAGGATGTGTTGCCTTTTCGTCGCTGACTCTGGCATTGCGATGGCCAAAGCCACCAGAACAATGGTTATCTCAGACGCAATTTGTGATTCTGCCGCTTCACTTGAGTACGGATCACTTGGGAGATATCGTCGTGGAAGTTTTGTCCCCAACAACGCTGAGAGTGAGCTTTTACGAGCCGCTTCATCAGCAATGCTATCGCAAAGAAGTTTTGAGCGCATGGAAAAATGAGTTACTGCCGTACTTGCAAAGGTGGCATACTGATAGTGGCTCAAAAGAATCATTTCCAAAGGAAGTAATTACGAGCTGGATCCCTGAGCCGACTCAGCCCGATGGTATCGCTGTGGAGTGATGATCATCGGAATGGTTTACTCATATGTGCTCAACGCTCGCAGATTTGGGCGTCATCGGGTCACTGACGCGTATTTACGCGTTATGCGATTGAGACTCGCACGGATGTTGCTGTGTACAGCAAAGCGGGTACCGACAAGCACCGGGAATTTAGCTGAAATGCAGAAGACGGATGAAGAAATCAGCAGGTTCTTCGCGTCAACATAAACATCGTGCTACATTCAGGAGCGAGCTACTACTTTGTTCCTTATCAATATAACAAACCACATGTGTGTTTAGCATTTCCACTCCTATTTTGACAATTCACTCTTACATTGGGCGTTGCATAGCGCCATTGCCTTGCTCGCTTCACGTGCAAGTCCTTTATTATCTCTCCTTAAAGTGCGAACGCTAGGTCGAGCCTCTCGCGCTCATCTCTAGAGCGCAGCTCGTGCACCACGTACATGTATCTGGTGCTATTAAATATCAGGGAAAAAAGTTGTTGATGGATTAGCCGCTACAACAAGACAATCAAATGTGACAATAAAATGTGATGAATGCAAAATTGACAATATGGACGGCAGTATCGTGAAACTTCGCCTCTGTCGGCTGCCTCTGTTGGTAATTTATTTCCACAAATAAGGGCGCTGATCAGTGCTAATGGTGCAGAAGCACGTTAAGGGTGCTCTAAGGCTGTTGTGTTGTCGTCTTCTTAGGGTGCCTTAACGCCATTCGTACTTGTGTCACAGATGTTGGCTCTATTTATGTCCCGGTGCTTCGAAGTTCGGTGCTCCGTAGTTTTTCCCGCTGGAGAGCTTCCTCGTCCGACTTGAGACCAGCAGGTCCAGGACGCGCGTCCTGGACCTGCAGGAGAGCATGGTGGCCCTGAAGTAATGCGTCGTGACTCAACGAGTGAAGAGCATTGCGAGTAAGTAGACGGAGGATTATTGACGTGAATAGGTCAAACTTGGTGCGGTGTGACGCGTGCACGACCGCGCTCGGGCGTGCTAATGAAGGATCTGGAACGGCAACATTCCGTAACATAGGGTTTATTATTTGATGTAGGCTCGGGAGCTCGTTGGTGCGGGTCGGTGAAAAATCGAGTAGAACCACATTTAAGAATATCTGTCTTTCCTTTTACGGGCTTAAAAACTTCCTATACTGTTGTCCCGGCCAAAAAGGCTCGGACGGAAAATAAAAAATCAGGTGGCCCAAATAAATTTGATAATATCTCGTCTTCCTGATGAGAGCTTAAGACGTGCTTACCCTCCTTTGTTAGATGCCTGTCTTAAGAAACTGCTCAGGCATGCAGCGCGTTTTACATGAGAGCGGTATAGTCTAAATTGAGCACGTAATTTATTATCTCGATAGCGAAAAGATGTAAGGTATAAGTCCTTACATACTTGACCTATCATAACTTAAGCTCAACGCAAATTTAAGTCCTCATCTTTCTCCAGTATGCTAAGTGGAATGCTAGCTTCCTGTAGCGCCAGGTTTGAGCCAATACGGGCGTCTGTGAGGAAAGCTATAGGGCGAGTCCATCGTCTATCGGTGACCACCGTGCTGTTGCTGTTACATATCAAAAATATCATTGCAGTAGTCGTACTGCAATGTATAAGATATTGCAGGTATGAATCAATTTGATTATCTTAGATCGAGCTGAACGACTGACTGATCTATGCTATATTAAAGGAATTGTAACACCAGCTGTATCATGTTAACCATGATGGTAAAAAACACGATTGTCGTCATTTATTGAAATTTATCCAAAATGATTGGGAATCTCCGGCTGCTATCCTGCTTAAGCCAATCATAGAGACAGAAACGCTGTACGTGGCAGGCTATTAACTGCAAAGAATTCTGCAACAAATAGTGGCAGTTCGAATTTGCAAAATTCGACGTCAGATTCGGACTCAGCACCTTTTTTTATCCTATATATCTAAATGTCGATATAGGTTTTAGAACGGCAAAACACCTTAATTATAGCGCAAAGTCCGTCCGAGGTTTGGTGGCCGGGACAATATCGAGCTACACAGAAGCAGCCTCATACCAAATTCGACGGCGGGTTCGAGCGCGGTGCTCCGACTGATATGGTTGCCGTCGTGTTATTCTCAATCGCCCGGAAGTCTTCCAAAATACGCAGGAGGTCCTGCTGCACTTGCGAACTGCTAGGTCTGTATTTAGGCTTGTAGCTGGTGCACGCGTTCACGAGTTTTATGATGCTCTTCGGGCACGCCGACGACAGCGTGGGCGACAGCGCTCCCCTCGCAATTAGCTGTAGGATGTCCGTCTCGGGCACAGCTGACCGGTTGGCCTGCATCAGATCCGAAAACGGAAGCTCGTGCGAATCCATCTCTGCAATTAGGATTCCAAACGAGTACACATCGCTGGCGTCCGGGTACGAAGCGCTAGTCTCGCGCCCTAGTAGCGCTTCAGGTGATATCCATCGACCAGAGCCCACCGCACTGTACGACATGAGCTCCTGCTCACTAAGGCCATCGGCTCGACTGTCCATACCAAAATCGCTCAGTTTGGCTCGCAGTGACTGGTCCAACAGCACGTTCCGGGAGTTGCAGTTGCCGTGTACCAGACGTGGGTGCATGGAGTGAAGGTAAAGCAACGCTCTGCTTACGTCCAGCAACATTTGAGCTTTAAGTACCGTCCATTTTCCACTTTGCTTGTTCGCAGTGCGATGAAGCCATTGTCGGAGGTCGCCTTGAGCCATGTACTCTGTAATGGCGACCAGGTTCGTTTCGCGCGACCAGGCCACGCCGATGAAAGCCACGACTTGTGGATGTGAGAATACAGCTTGACGCTTTAACTCGCTTTTGAGTTTATCGCTCGCGCCTCCTCCACCGTTTCCACTTGCAGAAGAGCGCAGTCCTTGGTCTTCCTTCGGAGTCAAAAACTTTGCCACCACTAAAGTATCTGTAGCGCCTCCCCCTGGAGACACTGCCACCGCTGCTCCTTTTGCACGAGCTAAAGAAGCCAGCCAAATCTCGCGAGGGTTCATAGCACTCGTCACGCTTTGCTTGCGTAGCGTCTGGCGCTTTTCAGAAGTCAGCAGGTTGAGGCACTTGACCATTTTCAGACGCTGAAAGTCCAACCGCCAGGGGTGCAGCTCCTCATCCACCCAAAATCCAACGTTGTTGCTGAAGAATGGCTGTTTGTCCTGCTTTCGATGTACCCGAGGCGATGGGCTCGCTGGTGGAGAAGTGGTCGACTCGTTGGCCGTGGGTCGATCCCGTTCACTGTCGTTTGTCGTGCCGACGTTGGCGCTCTTGCTCTCTTTGGGACTTCGGTTGTAGGTCCGCATGTAGTAGATGTAGAGGGCCACCTTGTACAAAAAGTAGACGAACGGCAAGCCCATACTGAGCAGGACGAGTGTCGGCGTGTGGCCGTCATCGGACGACGAGCTGCGACTGGAAGCATCCATGTCATCGCTGTTGTCTTCTGCTAGTTTAGCGTCAGATCCAGAGTCTGCTGACGTCTGCAGTTGTCGAGCAACAGCACTGTCGTCGGGGACAACGCACACCTGACTGCCAGTAAACCTCTCTACGCGCCCACCTCGTACATCCTGACACTCAATCGTCTGCGCTTCGTCTATCTCCGTCTGAATTGTTGATTTCTCCGCCAAGCGGGAGCTGAGAAGCTTGAATTGCTGCTCACTGAGCTCCATTAGCGTTTGCCTCTCACCAGTTACAGTGTTGTTTGAGAATACGAGCGTCTCAAGTCTCGGTAGCGACAGCAGCCATGCCACAGCCATCCTATTTAGCACGCAGTCCACCAAGTGTGCCTGTGTAAGCGATCCCGGCAACACCGGCAGCGAGGTGTTGGATAGGTCCAGGCCAATAAATAGCAGCGCGGCCAGGCGCTCGCCCGTCCAGCGGCTGGCAGCGTCAAACGTAACGCGCGTCATGTTCCCGTGCAGTACCAGCTTCCGCACCAGCGGCGGAAGGGCCACATCATCGAAGTGGTAGCTCGCGCCCTCCAGCGCTACGCGCCACTCGTCCCCAGCTGCGGTTTGGGTCAGTGCGACGCACTTGCCGTCCTGAGGTGATACGAGGCACGGCGTGGCGTCCCGTGCGCCGCTAGTGGACCATTCGTCAGCGTTGTTAGAAGAAGTACAGGGAGAGAGGAGAGCCGCTATGGCGAGTAGACCCGCCCGCCTCCGCCGCCTCCGCTGCATGGTGGTGATGGAGACGCAGGTTACTTATGGCAAGCTAGGCCTGGCCCAGGGCCTGACGAAGCTGAGGACCAGTTCAGATGCCAAACATATGGCGGCCATGAGAGCAGCGACTAGCGCTTTCTTTGTCATGCAGAAGTAAGTTGGTCTATCTCACATTATCGTCCCACTTAATATCGAATATCATCCTTGTATTCATTTATACAGATCTTGTCTATGCTGACTGGACTATAAGTTCTACGAAGCTATCACATTTGGAGTTAGAGCAATACAGTAGCAGACGACAACACACGACACCTGCTGGACATTTTCGTCTCGATGGAGCACATAGCCTTCGGTGCAGTGTGACGTAGGTACACTGTAGTTACATGTAAATTAATCACCGATAGTATCGACGCTCACTACTTCGGCACTGGAAACAATTTTATTAACTTGATTGTGTATACAGTTACAAACTAATCACGTTCGGGCCGGACGGCACGTGACGCGAATTTGCCGTGCTGGATTCCAGCCTGGAATGCCAGGGCATAGGGAGCTCGTCGCTACGTCCTAAAACTTGAGTGACACCAGGGTCTGGTGACCACGGTGATTGTGCCTTCTTCAAAGATTGGTCCACCGTGCAAATGAAGCGACCCGCTCAACGAGCGCTTCTGTGCTTCCAGCTGGGAGAGGAAATGTGTCCTATTTATCCTTTTACATGAATTAATTTCTACAGGGACGGCGCGAATTGCTAACTTCAGCAATGCAAAGACGCCGAGTTTTCAGTGTAAGCTCACTAAAGAAACTCAGTCTGTACGTCATTGACTCGCCAGCAGCCACCCAATCAAACCCACACTTGTCCATATTATCGTTATTGGTGCGCAGCTTTCGCGCTGTACGTGGGCAGAACGTGCAATGAGACTGAGAGAGTTGAGCACGAGCTTAAAGCCCCAGCGGTTCTGCCTCGACTTCTTCCTCGCTCTTGACTTCGCCCTTGGCAGCAAGTTGCGGCGGCTTGTGGTCGTCACACTGGGCAACCCACTTGCTCTTCACGGGCATTATGTGGCAGTTAATGCGCATGACCTTGAGTCCCTTGGTGACCTCCAAGTCTACCTGCGTCCAATTGTTGCGTTGGTCAGGCATCGTGCAGATGTGACCCACCTTTGGCTGACCACAGCGACCACACTTGTACAGCTTCCGGTTTGCGTCATCTAGGATCACCTTTTTTAGGGCCGATGAGGAGGCAGACGAGCTCGCGCTGCGTCGCGGCGGTGACCGGTGCGGGTTCAGATCAACCATGCTTGCCTCTTCTGGAACCGAAAGAAAGCCCAAATTCATCTGGGACATATCCATGGACAGACCGGACGAGCGATTGGCACCACGCCTTCGAGCGGCTGCACGCGGTGGCAGATTGCTACCAAGGGATGACCGACGCGCATGCAGGGAGTGCACAGTACCACTTGCAACTTGAGGTGGTACCTGGAACTGAAATTGCTGCATGTTCGGCTGTGGTGGTGCAGGGAAGTTCGTAGGGTCCTGGAAGCTGGCAAACGGATTGGGATATCCTTGGTTCGGGTTCATGTTCTGCTGTTGTTGCACCTGTTGTTGTGCATGTATTTGTTGCATAGGCGGCTGCTCCTTGTTCTGCTGCGCCAACACGCGAAACTGGTCCAAGTTGTGCAGCAAGTCGACAGGGTTCGAGTGATGCCTCGAGTGATGATTCACTGGACGTTTACGCTTCATCTTAAGCTCGTTCACTCCTTCCTGGATACGTTGAGTGCGGTAGGCCACGGGCGACGCCTCACTGCCCGGGACACTATTGCCACTCGTCGTTGCCGCATTCATGACAGGCATCTGCTGTTGCTGTTCTGAGTTGAGCTCCGACCACGACAGTTCCTTCAAGAACTCGTCCATCTCTTGGAATGATTCTCCCTGCGGTGTTGCCGTGCCCCCAAACTGCATGGAATTGACATGCGGCGCCATTTGGACCGGATTAATGGGCATGATGTTGTGATGCTGAGGAAATCCCATGCCGTTTTCCCCCATGACAGGGGGCGTGATGACGCTGGGTGCCATATTGACCATGCCAAAGCCTTGCAGCACGTCTGGGTTCGAGCGCACTCGTTTGTGCTTGTGCTGCGGCGCCATACGGTAGTTTTGCCCCACAGCCGTCGACCCGTTCGGGTTGAAGGAGAAGCTGAGCGGCGTGAGCAGGTCCTCGCCTTCGGACTTCGGCGCCATCATGTTAGTGGGCGATGAGCCGGGCACGTCACTATCCAGCAGCATTTGGTCGTTCGGCGCAGCGAAGCCGACTGCATGGGGTGCTCCATTGGTGCCGATACTGCTGCCTCCATCGTTCATGGAGGTGTCCGCGGACGTGTCTCCACTTCCCTCAAGACAGTTGTAGTCGAGCGGCAAGCCGTCGAACAAGTCCAGCGTCTGTGTGTCTGCCATGGAGGCCGCGGTAGGGAGAATGCAATAGGGAGGAAGAGGGCTCCGCTTCTCTTCTTGACTTCGGTGTGCTTGATTTGACGAGAAGCCTGCCCAAATTTATTGTCTCCGGTTATCCCGATTTCTTTCCATCTATTTGTGACTCCCTCAGAAAGGCATTTGTCCGGATACAAGATAATTTCAACCTCATCGTGGGTTTGCACTGGCCAAAATAGCTAACCCCATGCCCTAATGTACCAGATATGGCTTCAGTTTGGAGCCACGGACCGTGGCTTCGTTGCCACGGTCCACGGCAAGCACATGTACACGTCCTGCTACCGACAGTTTCCTTTATAATTCCTTTATACATTCCTATTCAGAGAATTTTTTTTGGCGACCTGCAGCGCTACAGCGCATGGGTGTGTGGAAACGCCATGCTCGGTGTGCCGCCGAAGCTTGAGCCACCAATTTCGTACGTCACGGCCTCCGGTGGCTGCTGCTCCACGGGCTGGTAAAAACTTGGATCCATTGTACCAGCGCGTGCAGGATCTTGCAACAACGCCTGCAAAATGCACGCGATATCGGCTGTCAGCAACCAATGTCAACCTCAAGGTGTCCGTAGGACGGTAGCTCGCCCTTGCTCGCTTCATCTGCCAGCAGTAGACGCTATACGCGGCATTGGGCCTTCTTAGAAAAGAAACTCACTCACCTGCAGACTCAGCGGGCTCAGTTGTGCGGCATCCTGTCGTGGGTACGGGTCCCACATACCCTGCCCGTTGGCGCCAGGTTGCTGCGGCTGCTGAGCTTGCTGCTGGTTATCGGCTATCCGGGACATCCCGTCTTGGTCGATCTCACCGTTTGCGGGGGCTGCAGAGGGCGGGAGCCAGGTCTCACTGCCATTCTGTTGCTGCTGCTGGCCAGACTGGTGTGCAGGAGACGCGCCTTGACTCGCAACGCCAGTGGACGTCTGTCGTTCGAAATACCGCGGATCGTAGCCACTGTTGGCAGCGTACTCCTGACTCTCATATTGCTGCGGTGGGACATAAGATTGCTGGGCATAGGCAGCAGCGGCGTACAAATTCGGGTCGGCAGCAGGCGAGTGGCCCATGAGCATAGCGCGGTTTTGCTGGTACGGTTCTGCCTTCAGATCCTCCGTAAGCATGGCAACGTGGCTAATGTGCTGGCCCTGCTGCATCTGCTGCTGCATCATCTTCTCGTGAAGACGCATCTGTTGCATTTGTTGCTGCTGGTCGAGTTGCTGTACTGCCTCGGCGTTATGCGCCTGCAGATGTTGCTGCTGCTGCAAAAGTTGCATCTGTCGCTGCCGCATCAGCGCCGAGTTGTTGTAGCCCATCGCCGCCTGCTGTGCTGCGGCAGCCTGTGCTTGCTGCTGATTCTTCTTGTGCTGAGCGTGCGATGCTGCAGCCTTGCTTGGGTTCTGCTTGAGCGACTTCCAACGAATTTTCACAGAGTCTTCGGTACGCCCCTTCAGAAGTTGTGCGATCTGCGACCACTTGTTACCGAGCCGTGCTTGTGCCGTAAGGATCACAGAATCTTCCTCTTCCGTATACGGGCCCTTATTAATGGCCGGGTCTAAGTGGTTTTTCCATCTTTCACGACACTGCTTGGGTGTACGGCCAGGTATACGCTCAGCAATTTGACCCCAGTTGTTGCAGCCCTGTGTTACCAAATACTCGAGCACTTGATCCTCTTCAAACGACCAGTGGCCCTTCACTAGACCCGGCTTGAGCACTTTTCGCCAACGCTGCAGGCATTGGGCGTGGTTGCGACCTGGTACCAACTCGGCAATAGCCTTCCAGTTCTTTTCACCGTGGATACGCACACTCTCACGAAGCGCCGCATCCTGACTCTTCGTCCAGCGCTTGGTCGTCGGAGCGTCGGGGTCTTCAACAGTTTCAATGTCTCCGTTGGAGTTCTCAGTGTTGTCAGTGTGGACTGCAACAGGCGTGTCTGCATCGGGACGTGTGCGCTGCGCGGGCTTCTGTTCGCCTTCAACAAGCGCACGGCTACTCTCAGGACGGTCGCGCTTCGACATCGAGAAGTCGTCGTCCTGTGTTGCAGTTGTTGCGCTCTTGCTAAATCCCGGGATGAAACCTTTTTTGTTAATTTCCAGTTCGCGTAAGTTCATCTCCGAGTCGCCAATATGCGAGTGGCTGAGTAGACGCCCCACTTGAGAAATATCTTCCTTGGAGATTACTACAGACGAGGAAGACAGCGAGCGGCCAACGACGACGCCATCCGCATTTGGCATACCAGCCAAAAGCTGTGACGTCAGTTTCTGACCATCATTTTCTTTGCTTTTAATCAAGAAGAAGAACAACATTCAGTGAGCACGAGAAGTTAACTAAAGGCATGTGAGTGTGAGTTGAAACGTACCCATCAGGGCCAACGACAGCATTAAACGAATGAAATTTGTTGGCTCCACCATTGAGCATTTTGACGCGACTGGCAGCTGCAGGTAAAAAAAAGAAGCCAAGGTCAGAGAAGCAATAAAACATGGAAAGAAATGCTGCCAGGTAGCCAGGCGAGCGCACCGTTTAGCGCCTGCTTGCGCTTAAGGTGAGACTCCATGTTCTGCTCTTCCTGCGCCTGTACTTCGGCCAGCTTAGCCTGCTGAACGATAAACTTCTTGCGCAAGTTTAGGATAAACTTTTTTTTGCCCTCGATGGTAGACTCGGCCATGGCTTTAATCACGCGAAACTGCTTCTCGTCGCGTAGGCGATCAACATAGCGACAAAGCTCAGCACTCTCACTCGGAGATAGACCACTGAGCGCCATAAGGAAGAGCCGTGACGCCTCAGCGGGTAGTGATTGTAGTAGCTGCGCCAGTAGATCGCCGAAGTTGTCAGCACTCGCCGATTCGGTGGGTGGGGCTGGCTCCGGTTGATTGTCGGATGCCGTGTCCGCCATAGTGCTGCGTATACTAGAAGCGTGTGTGTGTGGGCAGAGCGAGATAGAGCGCTGTCAGGCGCTGCGGAGGAGACGCGGGTGCGTGCGCGGTCGAATATTGACTTTTGCCACTGGTCGTGCTCCCCCTTTTCACCAAGTCCCCCCTTTCCCTCTGTAGAAAGCCGCTGGCATACGATATCCCTCCTATAATAGCTAAAATCAATTTTGCCAGAGCTTACCTCTTTGCATTTTTGTATCATTTCAGAAACGGATGACCTGTTAGTACCGATTGCTTGTCAAAGTTGGTGTCACTGGACTCTTCTCCTTCTTCTTAGTCTAAAGCAAGCACTTTGTCAACCAAGCACAGTGATGCCGCTGGACGCTATCTGCGCCGCGTGTGGGCCAACGGTGCTCGCCGTTTTACCGACCCAAAGATTTCCACCACGTGACTTCTTTGCCCATCCCACCATCCTACCACTCTGCGCCTTCCTACAGATTAAACTGTCCTAACCGATATCTTATAAACCCGATATACTCCTATATCTGATATCAATACATAGTTTTAGCAAAATGTACCGAGTTAAACTGATACCTGTTGAATATTATAACTGATCTTCACTTCTGCAGATCTGATAGCCTTCAGCTTGCCTGAAAGAAGCTGGTTATCGATGTCTGAGTAGTTTTAGCTTCTTGTTCACTGCGGAGTTGATCCCGTACGCGTAGCTGTAGCTTTCGGAGATCTCTCAGCAGTTTTGCATCAAGGTCCGGGTGCTCTGGAAGCATGAAAATGACACTCGGTATTGCATCCACTTTCTCTTGTGTGGTCTGCTCTGGCGTGTCACATTGAACGGATGCATTATCGGCATCATCGTCAGGTTCATTCCCCGTTGTATCAACGAACGGCAAATCAGTCGAGTCACTTAGCAGCTCTTCTCTCGTTAGGGACTTCATTGTAGTATCGTCCTCAGCAGGATTGCAAATGAAATCGTCGTGTCGAGAGCGCCAGGTTGACGTCATCCCAGGCACGATCTTAGTGTGTCTAAAGCAGTTTAACACAAGATCACCGGCCTCGGCACGACCCAGCTCGCGCCAGCACGATTTCACCTACCGCATTGCCAATAACTGGTCTACGTCGTAGATATCATGACTAAGACCTTCTTCTTCTTCTTTGTCAAGCGCCTGTTGTAGCTGTCTGTTTCGATACCGTCGCTTCAATGTCGCAATGATACCTGCATCAAGCGGCTAGATCCATGTGACGAGGCCCTGGGAGCGCCTTCGTCATTATGTCAGCCAGCATCACAGAAGGCTCGCAACACTCGAGCTTGACTTCACCACGTTTGACTTCATCGCGGATGTGGTGGTACTTAGTGTCGATGTGCTTAATGCGACCGTAGCTCACAGGGTTCTTTGTTATCTTGATGCACGACTGGTTGTCTTGTTGGGCCTTGGGGTTGGGCCCAGTCTCATTGGCAGCCGCTACGATTTCGCACAGCAGGCGATAAATCCGTTTGCCTTCTTGAATTGCCAGACTGAGCGCGATGTATTCCGCATCACTCGTAGACAGCGGGACACTTAACGGCTTCTTGCTGCCCAGCTCGCTGGCGCACCCTTCAGCATGAACGTGTAGCCGGAAGTCGACTTGCGGGCCGCAAGGTCACCAGTCCAGTCCGCGTTAGAGTATCCGGAAAGTCGATGATGTCATCCGGCTTGTAGCAGATTACATGCGTCTTGGTGCCTTGCAGGTATCGAAAGATGCGCTTGCCCGCAACCCAGTGTTCTTTTTTGGGGATTCCACATATAGCACGACACATAGCCCACCGTTATACGCAATGTCCGGACGCGTCTCGGTCATCAGGTGCAGTAGTGCACCAACAGCTTCGCGAAACGGATCTTGCACCTTGGTCGCCGCGTCGCTTGGAGCTAGTCGAGAGCTCATATCCACCGGACATACCACAGTCTTGCATCCGTCCATACCAAAGCACTTCATGATGCCATCCATATAACGCCGTTGGCTCATCGTCACGCTACCGTCCGGGCCGTCTACCAATTCGATTCCAATGACGAGCGCGCCCTTGCTGCTGTCTGTCATTTTAAAGCGTGTCTTGGGGTCGCCCTTCGTGCGTGGGCTTAGCTCGGGTGAACTTCCGGTGACCAGGACATCGTCGACGTGGACCAGTATGAGTACACAGTGGTCATCAACAACTTTGATGTTGAGACACAGGTCAAAGGTCGAAGCTTGAAAGCCAATAGAGCTTACGAACTCGTCGAAGGTCTCATTCCACACGCGCGAAGCTTGTTTGAGACCGTAAAATAGCATTCACCAATTCCTGGCAGTCGAAGTCACCGTCGAGCTGTTCTAGCGGCTAGCCAAAGTACTTGACCAAAGCGATCACCATGCGCAACGTCAGCGAGAACGTCGCAGTGTAGTCGATGCCGTACGTTTGCTTGAAGCCCTTGGATAGGAGGCGTGCCTTGTACTTCTCGGTCGATCCGTCCGCTTTGCGCTCGATCTTGAACACCCACTTGGTACCAATGGCACGTTCTCCGTTCGGAAATTTTAGCAGCACGGAACACTCCTCGAAGTCGCATCGACTTCAGCTCAGCACAAATTGCCTTGCGTCAGTGCCCTTGGTCGGGGCCGTTCACCGCCTAATAGAAAGTCGCCGGTTCCGATAAGTCCACCGCAGCTTCGACTGCGTTGGCACTTGCACGCCAAAACACGGGGGGGGTCAATTCTTCATCTTGATCTCCAGCTTTTTGTCTCCATTCTCGTCTGCTCGACGTGAGGACGAATTGGTCGGCGCACTTGCTTCTTCCAGTCCGGGTCGATGACGCATAGTTCGCGGTCGTGTGGCAGATTCATCTTCGTCACTCGGGCGGCTCTTGCGCTTCCCCGCCTGCCTGTGCTCTGGCTGACGCGAACCGTCATTGTCGATGTCGAGAGAGTCGAAGCCCAGGACGTCAACATCTTCATCGGTAACTGGCGCTGAAAGTACAAATGTCGATTCATCGAAGTTGACATCGCGACTGATAACTACCTGCCCCGCTTCGATGTCATAAAGTCGATATGCCCTGATTACTTCTTCGTAGCCCAGGAACAATCCGGCGCGAGCCTTCGGATCCCACTTGAGACGTTTCTCCTTCGGAGTTAAGATGTGAGCTCGACAGCCGAAGACGCGCATGTGCTTCACACTTGGCGCGGACTTGCTTACAATATCGAACGGAGTCTTCCATCGATCTTAGGTGACGGCAAGCGATTCTTCAAGTAGATGGCCGTCATCGCCACCTAACATCAGACGCATTTTCCTGACTTGGTATGATGCAGCATGCTGCGGCCGATCGTGACAATGGTGCGGATGCCCCGCTCTGTCGTGCCGTTAGTCTGGTGCGCGTACGGAGCCGTGGTTTGTTGCTCACGTCTGGGATTACCGCCTTACCTTCTTCAAGATCTTTGGCGTGCAGATCCCCACCTTCAGGGTAACATACCTGTTCATCCTCAGTCTTTGTCGGATCCACCAGTGGATCCAGGCACCGCGATTTCCCCCTCTTCAGTCAACCCTTCTGTTTTCATTGAAACGGTTATTCTGGTACCTGGGGGGGGGCTTCTGGACCGACTTGGTCTTCTGGTATGCATACACACGACGGCTCCCGTTCAAGCGGTGTCGACACTCTCGACCGGGATCCAGGCATTCTGTCCAATGGAAAGCGCGGATCCAGTTTTGGATTAGCAGGATCCTACGGGCCGGTATCAATCACCTGCGATCCCCCATCCACCGACCCCTGGTTACCTGGGGACCGGCTCTGGGTATCTCCCGCTGTCTCAGATCCAGCCTCCACCACTTGGATCCCAATCCGACGATATCTCAGTAAGATCATCCGCGGGGTTGGATATGAAGGTCGGTCAACCAAAGGCCATTCGGCTCCGCAGGGGGCTTACACATCCTAGAGATGCTCTGTCTCGGGTAGTCGCTTCATACGCACAGATTATGTTATTCTCTATAGCGACGAGATCCAACTGACACATCCCCAGGTCGCCTAGGGATACCTTCCTTTCCCACCTATCGTCCAATTTCCTCACAGTGATCTAGTAATAATCTCTTGTCGCTGACATTCGTAATCTGGAGGTACTGCGATCGACCCGGTCCTTGGATCACGGTAGGCACCCACTGCTCGCCCCAAGTGACCCACGGTTTCTCCAGTTCCACCCATTTTATCCGATCCGGCATTTCCCAGGTTTCCCCAGCCTCGATCCAGGTCGTTTTGTCTGCCCTTATGATTCTCATCCTCGCCCCGAACAGCGGTCTTCGCCCACTGAGCTGGATCCATATTCATCTAGGAAGCACAGTGTCCCATCTGCCAGATCCAACCTTACCTTGGCTGGTACCATGAAATCCATTCCAAGAATAGCATCCTGCCACGCGAGATCTCCGACCCAAATATCGAACCAAAACACTAAACAACCCGCCAACGTGATCTTGATCCGCGTTCTTCCATTCGTACGGTACACGCCTTCACCAATCCCAACACAATCTATGATCCGACCCCCATCCACTTGGCACCCAACCTTACGAGCAAAGGCGGTATCTAGTACAGACACCTCGGCACAACTATCCAGGAGCAGAATCGGTTTTTCATTGTTGACCTTGCCTCCTACCTTGGCTTGTCGGAACCGTTTTCCTGGGGCATGGTATTATCAGTATCCACGGGATTCTCCTGTCAGCAGATCCATAGATCCAACATTCTCAGATCCACGGGATCCAGTGACCTGGCGAACCTTGGGTGGATCTGCAATGACCTCACCCTTGGTAGTCTCAAACCATTGGCCATATTGCCGCTTCTCCCCTTCGTAAATCCAGGGTTGCAGAAACTTCGGACCTGGCAAATTCGTTCACTTGACGCAAGCTAGAGATCTTGGCAGTGTAGCTCACGTGTATTATCGACTGGATCTAGGAGCCTGCGACCTGGATATAGCGACGTCTTGTTCACAAATGCATAAATGCAATACCTAGAACGCTCGGCTC